TTTGAGTCCCATTTACCTAATGTTCAATTTTAGTCATTTGAGTCCCATTAAGCCTAATGTTCAATTTTAGTCATTTGAGTCCCATTTAGCCCAATGTTCAATTTTAGTCATTTGAGTCCCATTTAGCCTGATGTTCAATTTTAGTCATTTGAGTCCCATTTAGCCTTATGTTCAATTTTAGTCATTTGAGTCCCAATAGCCTGATGTTCAATTTTAGTCATTTGAGTCCCAACCAGGTATTGTCGAAGCAAAGCTCTCCCGGGACGCGATGGGGACTTATTAGAACCGCAGAGATGACACTCCTGGCACCACTCCTCAGCCTGCCGTCTCATCTCCCTCCAATATACAGGAGCCTGCCTGAGTCGGGCCATGGTTCGAGTGACCCCGAGGTGTCCAGCAGTTCGGTGGTTGTGGGCCAGAAGTAAAACCTCTGGCACCCTGACCTGCGGGACGGCGATCTTCCAGGTGGGAGGCCCCCCGTCGGCCCTTGCCCACTTCACCTGCTAGACCCCTCGGAATAGGCGCAGTGTGTCCCATCTGGACCACCAGCTTTTGACCCCGGCGCCAAGGTCGGAGATGTCCTCCCATTCAGGCCGGTCGCTCCCCGCCACCAGCCACTGGCGGACCGGTCCCAGCACCGGGTCGTCCTGCTGCTCCTGAGCTGGCTTGCTCAGGTCCCAGACCTCGGGAAACCCGTCCAAAATCGAGTCATCCTCCTCTTCGTCCATGTCGGCTGTCGCAACCATCCTGCAGGTGTTCAAACGCCGTCTGGCTCTTGTTGGTCAAAGCATGGAGGGGCCGGGCAATCTCAGCGAAGCAGGCAATAAACCGCCGATAATATGACGCCAGGCCCAGGAAACTCCGGACCTGCGTCACGTTCGTCGGCCTGGCCAACCACGGATCGCTGTGACCTTAGCAGGGTCCGTCTGCACCCCCTCCGCCGACACCAAGTGGCCCAGGAAGGACACCTCCGTGTTGAAAAGGTCACATTTCTTGAGTTTCAGTTTGAGTCCCGCGGTCCGGAACCGCCCCAGTACTGTGGCCAGCCTCTGGTAGTACTCCTCAAAGGT